TTTAGGTACAAAAATCCTAAGTAAATGCAGTCCTTTGGGGACAGGATCTTTCCCTTCTAAAATAGTCTTAAGACTTTCATACTCATCCTCCAAGAAAGATTAAGAGTCACTGCAAACTGGGTGGGTTGGCACACAATTCTCATCTTGCCACTCAGGATGCTGAGGCAGGAGGATCTTCTCAAATTCAAAACCACCCTGGGCTCCATAGTAAGTTCAAGGCCAGTCTGAATGATATAGTTAGCAAGACCTCATCTCAAAAAAAATTTTAAAAAACCAGAGTCACTGTGCTCGTAGCTCCATATTGGTACTAAGATTTAACAGTCACTGAGATACTCGGAAACCATGAAGTTACTCTTGGCCCCACCAGAAGCACCCAGAAAAACATCACCCCATTGCTGCCCTGGAGGAGCAAGGAGACAGGAACACAATAATGACATTGTGCGCCTGAGCCTCAGACCTGGCAACAGGGCTCAGGGTCCCTCTAACAGGAAGAAGGAAAAGTGGAACTGAAAATCATTTGCATGTTTAAAATTAGCCCTTCTGCGGGAGCTGAAGCCACTGGGCTTTCAAAAAAACGTCCCCATCCGCTGTCCCCACACCCCAGCCCCCGCCCAGCATTTCCATGGCATGGAAATTCCGAGACAATGGGCTGGCCACAGCTGTCCCTAATACGGAAGTAATAACACACTTCCTACAGCACCGCGCTGTCCTCTCGGGGTCACCGGGAAAGCCTGCCACCAAGCAGGGCCAGGACGGCACTGTGCACATCTCACGTCTCTGGCGGACTGCGCTGTCACCTCCAGAAGCCTCTTTCCGAAGGTGCCACGGGACATCACCCTCAACCAGTATCATAACTGCAACCCACTAGTGGGGTGTGACCCGAGTCCTGTCTGCCCCGTGGGTGGTGACAGCACAAAAGCAGGCCTTTGTTCCCCACCCCAGCTTCCCCCTGGGCGCCTGTCCCCTGAAAGTAAGTGATAGACACACTTGTACCTGTGACAACCATGTAAAATGTACACAACTATTTACCCAATGCCTTTGCTTATTAAAGTTAAATATAATTGGCAAGACATTACATGGACTCTCACTGTACCCACAGAATCATCGACTTGATAGGCAAATTTTCTTTTACTAATACACCCAAAATTAATAATTCTTTTTTTTTTTTTAAACAAGGTCTCAATAGGTAGTTCAGGTTGGCCTTGAACTTGCTCCGTAGCCTAGGCTGACCTGGAACTCTCTTCTGCATCAGCCTCCCAAGTGCTGGGATTACAGGCATGCACCACCACACTCAGGCCAATGATTCTTAACATAAAAAAAAGCCAGCCATGGTGATTAGAAGCTCCCTCCTTTGAGGGGTTCAGCACTGGGGACTACACCCAGGGTCTCATTGTGTACACTAGGCACACAGTTTATCACTCAGCTATATCCCCAGCCCTATTTCTATTTTATCTTTGACACATAGTCAAACTAAATTAACCAAGCTAGCCTTGAACTTGTGATCCTCCTGCCTCGGTCTCCTAAGACCCTGGTACGTAAGCCTGAGCCTCGGGGCCCACCTTGAAGCCCCATTTCTTTCCCTGAGGGTGTGACTTGGCGGCCTCTCCCAACTTGCTTCAGAGCAGCAGCACAGCAGAAAGCAGAGGTCCCCAACCCGGAGCTGCACAGGAGCTGTCACCAAGGCCGAGCAACCACCCTGCCTAGGCAGGGGCAGAGCTGGACCCAGCCCAGGCCTCCCTGCTTCACAGGCAGGCTCAGCTGCGGAGCCTCGGGCTCCTGAGAACCATAGCACTCACGGGGCTCCCCAGGGTGTCCCCACCACAGCCTGGGACATAAAGGACCCAGAGTGACTGTGCCCTGGCTGGAGTCAGAGCCTCGAGCCTGTCTCTGCACAAGTCTGCCGCCTGCATGCCTGAATGGACACCAGACACCTCCAGCACACACAGCTGTCCCAGCATAAGACAGTGCACCAGTGCCCGGGGAAAGCAGACTCTGCTGAACGCACAGGGTTCTGCCTCTTTGGAAGTTCAGAGCCTTAGTCTTCTCTCAGATAAAAAATAAGATGAACAGCAGCGACCTCTTGGAGTTCTGAACCGGTCAGATGTGATAACGCACTCAAACCCTTCCCAGCGCCCGTCTCCGGTTACCTATTAATTACAATATTATCAGCAGCATATTATGTTAGCAGAGAGCTACACGGAAAACTGCAGCTCACCCAGCAAGCACTCAAAGTAATTCCCTCAGCCAAGAAGTGAATGAAGCAAGTAATTACTCAGGATGCCAGTGAGCGCCAGGCCCACACTCATTCAGCAACTCTGCCCCGGCCTCCACTCCCCGCAAAAATTACTTTTAGGAGCTAAATATCCTCTCTGCTGACCAAAATTGCGCCCCCAGGAGCCAGGATTCTTCCTGCCGAGGAAGCTTGGGTTTGCCATGGTATCTTGGGGCTGGCTGAACTGGAAGTCAGCTCTATGCCACGGTCTAACCATAAACCAATCTGCTATGTTTTCTTAAACTGTGTGCAAACAAAACCAAATCATTTGGTCTCTCCCTTGTTGTCCAGGAGCAAAACAAAAACACTTAGAATCCCTCATCAGAATTTGAAAAAACAGGTTAAGGGAGAATCAAAATATTTTCTGGACTCTGGGTAAAATAGGTAAGTATTCAGGCTTAAGGATTCACTGGGGTAGATCCTAAACACAAATAGTTATTATACCCCAGCAGCCAAAAAAACAAGACACAGGAAGATACTGTAAGATGAAACAGCCACGTGCCAGCAGCCTTTTTTTTTTTTCTTCTTTCCTTTTATTTTTCATTTGAAAGCAACCCTGCTGCAGGGCTGAGGTTCTGAAGAACCTCGTGGGATGACATTTCTCCAGAGGATGAGGCTGAGGGCTGGCTTTGGTTTTGTCACACCACCTAGAACTCACACAGAAACCAAAGCCAGTGTACAAGAGTGCTCCTACCCTGGGTAGGGGCAGGCACTGCCCCCAGCAAAGCCCAAGCTGAAACCAGCTCCCACGGACCTTCCTGTCTAGGGGAAGGGAGGCGATGGAAGGTTCAAAGATGGCTTTTCCAGGCCTACTAAGCACTGGCTCTTCGGGCAGCTCTACCTACAGTTCCCACACCCCGTCCACACCAAAGGCCTAAAATATCTTTTCCAAAATATCTCCATTGTTTTTAACCCATTATACTTAATTTCATTTTGACACATACAAATAATCTAAGCCTCAAAAAACTGATCAATGATAAGGAGGTAGTCTGATAATTTCAACGTTTATTTCCTAAACAACTCATCTCAGAAACACTCAAATTTGATTTTGGTGGGGCGCAGTGGCCCACACCTGTGACCCCAGCAGAACAGGCTGAGACAAGAGGATTGTTGCAGGTTTGAGACCCTGAACTGCATAGCGAGACCCTGTCTCAAAAAGACATAAATAAATAAATATATACCTGATTTTTGTTTGGTGTTTTGTTTTGTTGGTACCGGGGATCAAACTCACAAACTCCTGCTTAGCAGGAAGGCACTTATGCCACTGAGCTAAATCCCTGGCCTTGTACATAGGAAGAAACATTTTTTTTTTTGCTGGTGCCAAGGATTGAACTCACGACCTTGTCAGGTACTTATGCCAGTCAGGTACTTATGCCACTGAGCTAAACCCCCAGCCCCTGCTTTGATCCTTTGAGACAAGGTCTTGCTATGTAGCCCCAGGCTGGCCTTGAACTTGCTGTAATCCTTCTGCCTCAACCTCCTGAATGATAGGATTACAGTCACACAATCTAACTGATCTTTTTCTTCTGTCTTTTTGAGACAGGGTCTCAATATGCAGTTCAGATTTGACCTGAGCTCACTTTATAGCCCAAGCCAGTCTCAAACTTGCAACAATCCTCCTGCCTCAGCCTCCTGAGTGCTGGGATTACAGGCGTGTGCCACCACCCCCAGCCACCTATTTTTTAGCTCAATCTACACTCATCATTTTAGGCCCATACAGTGACACAGCACTGAGCCTATGGCAAAAAACAGGACCCAAATGAAAACACCACCCAAAGCAGCATTTAAGAGACACAAAGCCCAGGTTAGTTTGCATAACCCAAGCTCCATCCTGGCTTCTCTGGCCTCTTGCTGGGCAACCTCTAGCTGTCCGGTCTGCTCTGGACCTCACAATCTTCATCTAGCCTTTTCCATTTCTTATTTTCAAAATGGAACCCCAAAATGAGAACTCTATTGAGAACCTTCCATTTCTGCAGAGCAAACAATACAGGAAGGAACTATGTGAACAGGAACTGGACAGTGGCAATATGCTAAGGAGACCCAAGGAAGGATTGGGCAAGAAAGACACTGACCCAAGGGACTTTCTGCTGATCAAGCGCAGCTTGGAACCTCCCCAGGGGAAGCCAACAAGTGAATAATATCTGTACCAGATTAAACTGAACCACAAGCAAAAAAAAAAAAAAAAAAAAAAAAAAAACAACCACAAGCAGACAAGCAGCTCACCTACTTTCTTTGCCGTAGCCTTTGGCACAAAGAGACCTTCAAATAGGGAGCAACTGTTTTTTAAAACTTCATAAGTGGCTCTCCATGAATTTATTGCCAGGGACAGGGAGAAAGGAGCCCATACTGCACCTCAGTGATAAACCCATTAGCACAGCGCTATCCGGAAAGCTTTTTGGGGGGGACTGGGAGGGGATAACGGGAATCAAACTCAGGACTTTTCACTTGCCAGCGAGGTGGGCGCTCGTGCCACAACTATATTCCCGACCCTGAAAAACAAATTTTTAATATTTACTAAATACCTTCATAGATTGGCTAGTGGAAGCTTCCAGGCCCAATGGTGCTAAGAGGTGGGTGTTGCACCCCATCTACAGATGGGTAAACTGAGGCTAAGAGTAAAATGGACTCCCACCACCTGGCCCTGGTGCTGACACTCACCCAAGACAGCAGCAGGTCACATGCCAAGGCTGCCAGGGAAATCAGCGCCCCGCTCGGAGGCTGCCCAGGCTCAGGGCTCCAGGTCCCTTGTCATCCTGCCTCCTGGGCTGCAGGGTACGTGTCCCCACTCTCAGACACTCAGAATTTGTTTAAACTCCCTGAAGCCAAGCTCCAGCCCATCCCACCATGTCCTCTTGGCTTCACAATATATCTCCTCAGGGCTGATGCCTATGAGACCAGCAGAATCTGTCTTAGCAAAATGCACACGCAGGCTGTCCACAGGTTCGGGACCCCAGCGGACTCCAGGGAGGCAGGCGGTAAGGAGAAGGCCCTGGGGCGGCGACTGCGCCCCCTCCCCGGTCCTTGGTCTGGGACGGCAGCTGTCCCCCGGTTTCCCTGCCTCGGCCTCCTCCCCAGCACTATAGAAATGCCACAAAAGGGAAACGGCGCTTTCAGAAAGGTCGGCCACCAAAACGCCAGGCATGCAGGAGGATCTCAAAAGTGGAGCGAGAAAGCGGTGGGGGAAGCCGGCGCCCACAAAGCCATGAACCCCAGCTCATCAGCTTCTTCTGGGAGACGCCGAGAGAAGGCTGCCGCTGCCTCCAGGGTCGCCCGCGAGTGCCACCTGGTCCCGGGCAGGGAACTTTCCCCAGGACCGGCACCCCCCGCCAGGTCGGAGGTCCGTGCCGCCAGGCCCGAGGCGATCGGCCCAGTCCGCGCCCCGGATCCCAGTCGCTGGCCCCCGCCCCGGCCCCGGCCCCCGCCCCGGCCGCGCACCGGGCAGGTGCAGGCCCCGCGCTCACCTGGCCCAGGCGCAGCAGCAGCAGCAGCGCCCCGCGCAGCCCGGGCTCCATGCCCCGCGCGCCCTGCAGCGCGCCCCGGACGCGCGGACCCGGCCGCCTCCGCCCCCGCCGCCCGCGCGCGCCCGGCAGCCCTGGCCCCGGCCCCGCTCCCGCTCCCGCTCCGCCCGCCGCGGGCCTCTCCGGGGACAGCGCGGCGGCTGCGGCGGCGGCGGCCACACGGGGGCGGCGGGGGCGCGCGGGGGCCTCGCGGGCGCTGCCTCCTGCGCGCGTCATGCGGCTCGGGCTGCGGGCACCGCGGCGAGCGCTCGGCCGCCTCGCGTCCCCTCCCCCTCCGCATCGCCGCTGCCTCCGCCCCGCCGGCCCGGCCGCCGCGGCCCCTGCCGCCCTCACCGCCCCCGCCCCGCCCCGCCCCGCCCCGCCCCCGCGGCAGGGGGAGGGGAGGGGAGGAGCCGGAAGAGAGGGGAGGGGGAGAGGAGGGAGGGAGGGGGAGGAGCAGGGAGGGACCGAGCCCCTCGCGCACGCCCCGCCCCGCGCCTCCCGCATTCCTGGGACTGGCGACCCGGGCGGGCCACCGCTCCAGCGCCACACCCCCGCTGCTGGTCCCCACGGGGCCCCTGGCCTCGATCGCCTGCAAGGCCCAGGGTTTGGGTCACTGGATGTTGACCGACACTGCTGGGAGGTCATGGCCAGGCCTCGCTCTAGACAGCAACCTGGCCCCAGCCTCGTGGCCCGGGCCTTGGCAGAGCTGGAGGTGTGGGCCCCAACGCTGTAGGAGGTGTGCGGCGCACCTGTTGGGTTCCCTGCCCCCAGTACTTAAGCCAGGAAAGTCAAAGTTCGCCTGCCAGCCGGGGTGGGGACCACAGACCTCGGCTGGGGCACGGGGCTGTGCGGCAAGGCAGCCTGGCGGAGAGGGGCGCGTCTTTCACCAGCCGGGCTGCTCTCTGCCCTCGCCGGTATGGCCCTAGGATGCCAGCCTACCCTCACTAAGGTGATGGAGCGAGCAGCTGCGGGTGCAGGTCAGTCACATAGCTTGCCTGGCATTCGAGGGACCTGGGTTCCATCCCCCAGCACCCCCCAAAAATGTAGGGGTGAAGAGGCAATGATGGGATGAGGCCTAACAGTGCCCCTGGCCCAGAGGGGCTCTCCGTGCGGGTCACCTCTGCCAGTGGTGCTATGGTGACACTGTCAGGGAGGTGCCCGACCTGAAAAGAGTGACAGATTCCTGCAGTCTCAGTTTCTGTCCCCACAAGCTGGGGGGAGGGGTTAGGAGAGATCCAGGTAGAGGTGACACCTGAGCTAGGCTTTGGAGCCTGCCTTGGATTTCAAGGGGCCTGCAGGAAGTGGCATGGCAGGAAGTGAGAACAACTCAGCACCAACCAGGAACCAGAAGCCTGGGCCTGGCCTTCTAGAAGCAGGAATGGTGGATGTGGGGTTCAGATCTGGGGAGCCTTCAAGGCCCAAAGAATGAGTCCAGGTTGACTGTGGCTGGAACCTTAGAGTCCCAGCGGCTGGCACAGCACACAGCAGGTAAGGGGTCCTCACCAGCACACCATACATCTTGCTCTCTTTTGTTCCTGCATCACGATTGTCACGGCTGGAGGAATTCTGCTCCTCCCGGCTCCTCCGCTTCCTCCACTTGCTGAGGCAGAAGCATGTAGCTTAAAAGGTGCGATGCCCAGAGAGGAAAAAAAGACTGCCGCTGCCAGGCCTGCAATACAGACCGATAGGCCTTGCTGCATCTCTGTGTGTACTTGGATCTGTGGAGGCTCAGGGACCTCCCACTATACTCCAGGTTTTCCTGCCCACACCAAATTAGTGGCTGGACCAGGTCTTCCCCACTGTCCAGAGAGGATGCAAAATAAAAAGGTTTCTCAGCCAGGGAGTTATAAGACCTGAATAATAAACTGCTCCCCAGTAGTATACAGATCACTCTGTGGGAGAATCGTGAGGGTGTGAATTCCATTGGATGGAGTCTTTAGTATATGAATGTGCCCAGGGAAACCATACTGTGAGAGATGCCTCTTCCACCAAGCCAACCTTGCAAAGGAATATGCAAATAGACTCTACAGTCTCCTCCAGTGTCACTGTCAACCAGTGCCAGGGCAGCCACACAAGCACCTGCAGCTCCTTGGCCTAACCTTTTCTACTGCTTTGCAGGGCTCTATGCTCTGTAAGTCCCTGTGCATTTTTTGACTGCTGAGCAGATTCTAAGTAACTTCTTGTGACAGGGCCCACCTATGCCTAGCACAAAGTAGCCACTCAGTATTTATTTCATTAAATTAACTGCATTCATTTGAAAAGCAAACAAAGAGGCTAAATATGCACCTGTTCCCTCACAAAGGCAGCAAATTCTATTTGCAAATAGCTTTTCAGGAGTAAATGTACTAAGCACTTTGTAGGGTGGGTGTATTCGAATCGGGAATATAGAGTGTAATGGTGTTTGACCTCACACTCCTTCCTGATAAGACTAAAAGTGTGCATAAAGTGGGGGCAGATGCACAAAGAAGGAGAGGGCTGAGCTGAAAGTCGGGGTGAGGGTCCCAGGAACTTTCCAAATATGCCAGCGGAGTCACACAGGAATATTAGAGTATGGATTCACGTGGAGCCTGGGAATCTATCTGGGTTTTAAACCAGCTCCTTAAATCAGAAAACAGTTTTAACCAGGAGTGGTGGCCCACGCCTATAATCTCAGCACTCCAGGAGGCTGAGGCAGGAGAATTGCCACAGAGTTTCAGGCCAGCATAGACTGCATAGTGAGACCCTATCACACACACACTAGGAAAAAAAAAAAGTAAAAATAGGGTTCAATGTGTTGTCTCTGTGTATCCCAAACTGGCCTCCAGTTCATGGTAATCCTACTGCCTCAGCCTCAAAAGTGCTGAGATTATCAGAGTGCAGTGCATGTCCTTTTTTTTTTTTTTTTTTTTCTTTTTTTGGTACCGGGGATTGAACTCACAACCTTGCATTTGCCAGGCAAGCACTTAGGCCACTGAGCTAAATCCCTGGCCCAGCCATGTCCATCTTTGTTGTTACTTCTTTATTGTTCTCTTGGGCCTCAGTTCCCCACCCCATCCCCCTATCTTTTTTTTTTTTTTTTACTCAAACTCATGACCTTGCACTTGCCAGGCAGGGGCTTGTGCTGCTAAGCTAAATCCCGGGTCAGCTTCCTCAATTTTAAAATAGGAAGGGACAGAATACAACTTTCTACTCCATCCTGGAGGAACTGGTCCTAGATGAAGCCACCACATTTAATGACAAGTACGCATCCCACCAGGAGGCGGCCTGCTGAGCTCAGGCCTAGAATCAGGTCACCAGCCCCGCAGGGAGCCCATTCTGCCTGGCAGTACTCTGCCTCCCCAGGCATCCTGCAAAGAGAAAGGAAATGTTTCTTAAAGTCTATCCCTTAGGTGCTGGCGAGGCTTGCCCACCTCTCAGGCTCCAAACAGAATAGAAAGGAAGACTTCTAGAAAGATCTTTAAAAACAAAAATAAGCGGTGCTTCATCTTTGCAGTGGTAACAGGACGTTTCCTGTGGACTCATAACTGGAATGTGGTTGGGGCTCTGTGCTCCCCACCTCAGCTCCGCCCTGCACAGAGGGCGTCACCTGCCCAGCTGCACCGTGAAGAAGCACTTCCCCGACTGGTGCCTGTGTGTGCCCATCTGGAAGGCACATGTATATGAATGTGCCCCTGTGCAAGGCACACGTGTACGAGTGTGTGTGTTGCGAGCATGTATGGGGGTGAGGGATGAGGCTTGATTCCAAAAAGACAGTTGCCTGTGACAGATTCTTAATGCAGGAGAAAGCCCATAGCAGCCACCTCCGGGTGTGGGGAGCAGGATCCCCCAGTGATGAGCCTGCTGTCACATGCCTCCTGAGGTCCCAGGGAGCCCAGGACCCTTGGGCTCTGGCAGGACAGACCCAGAAGCCAGGGTCTCAGGGCATCTGGCAACAAGGAACGTGTGACAAAGACACCAGGGTGGGAAGACAAAGACAAAGAGCTTTAGTGCAGGGCCATAAAATGACTGTGGCAACAGACCCACCATACAGGCCGGGGACAGGAGAGGGTCAGGCTGCTGCACAACCGACACCTGGAACAGAGGCAGGGCTTTCCAGGCCTGTGTAAAAGAAGTTTTAAAACAATTTTTTTTAACTTTGAAAAGATACCTTCTTTTCTGAAAATTTTTTTCTAGTTCTGGGGTTGGACACAGGCCTCATGCATGCAAGACAAGAGTTCAGCCCCTGAGCCACATTATTTGCCATGGAGCATCACTCTGTGGCCCAGGCTGGCTCTGCACTCACAGTGATTCTCCTGCCTCAGCCTCCCAAGTGCAGGGATTACATACCCAGCTGCATTCATGGGCTTTCCTGGAGTCAGCTACTTGCGTTTAAATCCTGGTTTTTAGTTGTTTCACTCTGGCAAGTTACATAATTTTCTGAGCTTCAGTGTCTGTATGTGTCAGAGCATGTTGATGTTAATAAATGTTTCATAGGATCATTCAAAGTACTAACACAGTTCTATTTACTATGGACATGTTTGCAATTATTACAGTATCTTTCTAGCTGGGCATGGTAGCACACATCTATTATCCCAGCACTTGAGAGGCTGAGGCAGGAGGACCACGTGAGTTCAAGATGAGCTTCAGAGTTCAAGGCCAGCCTGAAGGTTCTGCCTCAGAGAAAAAAAGTACCATTTGGCAGCTCTGAATTAGATAGTGAAATGGGAAGAACATGAATAACATGCTCCTAAGTTCAATCATGCATACTTGCTGTACAGTGTTGGTCCCACAGAATGAATGGGATAACTTACTGACCTCAGATAGTTGTGAAGATGGCAGGTAAGGACACACGTGAAAGAGATGGCACAACTTCCTGAAGAACCAAATGGTAAAGACATGGTCACTGTTCAAGCATGGCGCCACATTCCTATAATCTCAGCACACTAGGAGGCTGAGGCAGGAAGTCTGAGCCCAGCCTGGGCATTTAGCAAGACTCTGTATCTTGAGAGGGAGAAGGAAAGGGAAAGGAATAGGAAGGAGAAGCGGTCACTGATGGAAAAATAAAGTTTGGGGGATTGGAAGTCCCATCCTCTGCCAGGCAGGCAGTGCTAAAAGTGGCTGGGGGCAGCTCTTAAGGCCACACAATTAGGGCTCCTTAAAGCCCTGGCCTTGAGAAGGAGGCCCACAGAACAGCAGCTGGACACCCTGGGGGATGTAGGAAAGGCAGAATTTGTGGCTGCACCCAAAAGCTACTGAGTTAGATCGGTGAGGTGCATTGAAATACATGATGAATGTTTAAATTTAGATAGGCACAGTGATGCATGCCTGTCATCCCAGCACTCAGGGGCTGAGGCAGGAGGGTCACTGTGAGTTCCAGGCCAGCCTGAACTATAGTAAGGCCCTGGCTCAAAAAAACGAACCCAAGCATAAAAGACACATGGCCATGAAGCCCTGTCAAAATCCTCCCTTTGTTTGAATACACTTACCCTGTCACTCTTGCCACTTACTACAGCAGTACCGAAAGTCCTGTTCTGTGTCTCTACAAGGTGTGACTAAAAAATCCAGCAGCTGCTGCTACCCAGTGCCATCCAGCAGAGAAGCAGGCTTGAACAACTTGAAGGTGTCCTCATCAGCCTTCTTCACCAGCTCTGGTAACGTGTGACTGCTGGCTCTTCCCTCGATGTCAAAATGAGCATGAAAGAGAAACATTTTGAATTGATTCAAGACATGGAGGCAGCCAGGACAGCACAGACACTCAGGAAAGAGGACTCCAGAGCTGCTGCAGAAAGTGACAAGAAACAGGGTGAGTGTGTGGGAGCATGGGGAGGATTTGACGGGATCCTGGAAATGGGTCTTTGCAGTTATACATTTTGGGATCTTTTTCTTTTTTTCCCAGTACCAGGGATCAAGCTCATGACCTCACACTTGCCAGGCAGCCGCTTATGCTGCTGAGCTAAAACCCCAGCCCCTGCGGTTGTACATTTTTAAGCATGAACACTCACTGTAACTTCCAGGCACACCCTGCACGTCTTCACCAGCTCCCAGAAGATTCCTGGGGACCTCAGTGTGACAAGCACTGAACTTGTCACTTACGTGACAACCCAGTGGCCTGCAGCCTTTGTCAGTGGACTCAGTCCCCAGCCCTGTTCCTGGGGCTGCCCTCCAAAGCCCACAGTGAGCGCCTTGGAGGAATCCCCATCAGGAGGACACATAGCATCCAGGGGCGATAGATTCCTCCACCCACAGTGTGGGGAAAGACTCTGTTCTACATGTTGTCCCTATGAAACAAAAATAATTTTTAAAGGCCTAGATTATCTCATAGAAGAAAAGAGTTTCCATGTCCTTGATTAAAAACTGTGACCCAACATAAGGAGACGGTTAAAAACCATCATTGGCAATTATCTAACTTTTTATTTTTTGGTTTTCTGAGAGTTTCACTCTTGTAGTTCAGGCTGGCCTCGAACTCACAGTGATCCTCCTGCCTCAGCCTCCTGAGTGCCAGGATCACAGGCATATACTATCACACCCTGCTTTGCAAGGAATTTATATACTTTATCTCATTTACTTCCGGACCCAACCCTGCACCACCAGTGCTAGCCAGCTGGGTCCCCAGTTCATGGCTCAGGAACTAAAGGACTCTGCATTTCAGGAGGCACCCCCAGGTCCCCTTGTAGTTCATGCCAAGACCTGCCTTGCAAGCTAACCCTAACTGAAGAAGTTCCTTGGCAGAACTGTGTCCCCCCTGTGCCATGCAGCCTCTCCCAGAGTCCCCTCACCTTCAGCCTCTAGCCAAGAGCAGCATGACCCAGACACCCCTGAGGTCCCTACAGCACCAGTGAGCACTTTCAAGACAGGGTCACAAAGTCCTCATCCCCTCAGTTGCTGCTCATCTGTTGCTGTCATTGTCCCCTGTCACTGACATTTGTATCAGACCTCTCTGCCAAGTCTTGTGGCTATTGTACTGAAAGATCCTGCAGCTGCTCTCTGAGCCGAACCCTCCAAGGCACAGGGACTTGGACAGTATGACACATGACAAGTCTCGTGGAGGCCTTGGAATTCCTTCTGCTGACAAAGCAATCAAGGCTCTGTTGGGCTCTCTAAGCTGTTTGGGAGGCTGAGGCAAGAGGGTCCCAAGTCTGAGGCCAGCCTGCACAGCTTGGCAAGGCTGTGTCACAAAGTCAAAACAGCTTGGGCTTGGGTTGCAGCTCAGTAGCAGAGTAGCCTCATTCAATCCCCAAGGGACAGGAAAGAAGGCAGAAAGGGAGGAGGAAGGGAAGGAGAGCAGGACAGGGAGGTGAGGCTTGGAAGAGTGAAGCAACTTGAAATGGCACATGGCCATGCTAAAAACCAAGGGGCTCCCCAGAAGGCCTCTGACCTGTTCCCACTCTCCTGTGTACTGGCAGGGGACCGAGTGACACTGCCTGACCATGCCCGGCCACCCTGCTCAGCCAATCTCCATTCATTTCTGGGCTGTTAAGAAACTCCACCGTGCTCGATGGAGGATGTAGTGAAGCCTCCAAAGTTTGCAGTCACCAAAGATGTCCAGTGCAGATGGTGAAGACTACAAGAGCCCCCGAGCCCCAACCTCACCACATGCTGGGCCAGGCAGGGCCTGACTCAAGGTCAGCAGAGGAACCCAGTGACAAGGAGTCCACAGCTTTGCCAAGGTCCTCCAGGTGTCCATTTCCTCTCATTCCTGCTGATAGTCTCAACCCAGAGGTTCCTTGTGCCTGGCACAAGATGTCCCCGTGGCACACCCAGAAAGCTAGCTGGGGCAGAGGGGCAGAGGCTCCCACACAGCTCCTAAATTTGGCCTGGCCAATCCTACCTGGAAGGGTCTTCTGGGTCCCTACCTGCTGGCCCTACAGCAGCCACTGGAACACAGTCGGTAAGATGGGGCCACACTCAAGTGTCAACAGCTCAATCCACCTGTTGCTCTTAGCACTGGAACCGGGTCTGCAGGTTTCTCTTTGCATTGCTGAGTGCTGAGCACATGATGGCGGGTGAGGGGCCAGGTCATGGAGGCTCCCTGGGAAGACAGAGTGAGGTGGGACAGAGTGGAGGCAGCACGTACACACACACCTGCTGCACTCTATACCACCTTAAAGTTTACAAAGTCCTTTGCCCATAACCAGAGCACTACCCAAAGCAGCATCACCCATGGGACACAGCTTCTGGGAACTCAAGGTGCTTCGTGTTTATAGGCCCAGAAACAATGTTCTTGGCCCTCGGGAAGATTCTAAGAAATAAGCACTGCTTCTGTTCCCACACTGAACATGAGGACTAGGAAACAGGGTGGGGAGATCTGCAAAAGGGACAAAGAGATTGGGAGGAGGGGGAGATGAAAAAGAATTCAGATGTGTGGTAAACAAGCACTGACTCTGCGCCAGGAACATGATCCTCATGTACAGTAAACATGGCCTAATAAAAATTAAAAGTGAAAAAAAGGTTTAATAAAGGCAAGAAAGCTAGGCGTACTGGTGCAAGCTGGTAATCACAGCACTAGAGAGGCTGAGGCAGGATTGCTACAAGTTTGAGGCCAGCCTGGGTTACACAGTGAGTCCAAGACCAGCCTGAACTACTTAGCGAGAACTTGTCTCAAAAAAACAAACTAAAGGGGCTGGCGATTTAGCTCAGCAGCGTAAGCGCCTGCCTGGCAAGCTTGAGGTCATCAGTTTGATCCTCAGTACAAAAAAAAAAAAAAAACTAAACTAAACAAATAAGAAGAAATGGAGGCTACGGATCCATTTGGAATTCTGTTCACCATCTTACGGATCCGTATGTTGTAATCTAAGCAGAAAGGACAGTGAGAACAGCGGGGTGTCTCAGAGACCCCATGGCAGAAATGCAGCTGGACAGATGCCACACTGGGTCATCTTGGGAAGTCAACCAAGCAGGAGCAGAACCCGCTGGGATAACCCATTCTGGGTGTGTTTGTGAATGATTGGCAGGTAACCCAGCAAACGGGGATGCTCCACCCCGGAAGTGGGTGCACCAGCCAATCAATTCAGACCACAGAGGGCACGAAAAAAGGAAGTGTTTCCCTTTGTGGAGATCTGGTGTTTAGCGTGCCCTTTGGACGAGGTCACCAGTTTCTTTGGGTTTCTCGGGCAGTCTTCGTCCAAGGGGCCCCCGCTAGAGGCCCCGAAGCGAATTTCCGTTCTTCCGCTCTCCAGCTCTCCAGTGTGCACGTGGCTGTTTTTATTTTTTTCCTCTGCTGCCGCAGGCGCCATGAAGACTTCCACCCCATCCCCAAAGCCCATCTAACAGAGCCCTGTATTATTATCCTCATTTTTATCCCGTGCCTGTTACTCCCGAGAACCCTAAGCCAGGGCCAGCCCCACACGGAGACCAGCGGCAGCTCGGGTCCCTTCCCTGCAGGAGCCGTCACTGTGGCCGAGGGACAGGGCTGTGGGCTGAGGTGCAGGCCCGGGATTCTGGCGTCGCACCGGGGACCAAGAGGCTATCAGAAGTCACCCCATTTGCCCCACAGCTAGCAGGTGCGCAGAGGAGCTGCACTGAGCTGGGCTGACACCCCAAAGCTTGAGAACTCTGATGGCACAGGACCTGGTCTCTGGGCTCTGAGTACACAATGCTGGATCTCTGGGCCTTCGAGCCTTCTGTTCCACCACCCAGATCGCACTGCCCACTCCTCACAGGCCCATGGAAGACCGAGATGTCCCTGCTCTGGAGAACCTTAGACCAAAGGCCGAGGCCCACTTCAGGCTGTGGCAGATGGAGATGGAACGGCCAAATCGGTTCTGAGATCTTGATGAAACTGGACAGAGGAAAAAGAGGAGGAAATCGGCTTCCAGTCTGGACTGGACTCTGGCCTGCAGTGTGCTGCCTGATGGTCCTCACCTTCTGTTGGGGGTGCTGACACTGGGGAGCCCTGCACTGGGCTGTGGCAGGTATAGGGGATATGTACTGGGAACTTCAAAGCCTACTCAGGGACATGCAGGATGGGTCACGGGAGAGTCACACATTGCAAGGGGGAAAGTAAACCAATCCTGTCTCTCTCAAACATTGTGACAAGTGTTAGAAGTCAGTAGTGAGCCCAGACTGGAGGTGCCCACCCCATCTCAAAAGAAAAAGCAAAAAAGTTGATGTAGCTTGGTGATAGAGTACTAGCCTACTGTGTGCAAGGCCCTGGGTTCAATCCCCAGTCCTTGGAAAAAGAGCAAAGCCAGCAATGTAGAAAAACACACCTGTCGTCCCAGCTGCCAGGCAAACGGATCAGTTGAGCCAGTAAGGTTAAGACCAGTGTGGACAACATGGTGATACTGTATCTCAAAAAAGAAAAAAAAAAAAAAACAGTGATGATGATGATAAGGATGGCATTTTTACCCCAGAAAAATCTACTCTTGAAAGAACCTGATACACAGAAAGGAACCAATAAAAGAATTGCTGAATGAATGACATTTATTTAGATATTAGAAACTACCTAAAACTGGGCGTCATGGTGCACACCTGTAATCCCAGCGCTTGGGAAGTTGAAGCAGGAAGATCGATGTGAATTCAAGGCCAGCCTGGGCTACATAGTTCAAAATCAACCTGAACACAAAGCAAGACCCTATCTCACAAAGGAGAGGGGGGAGCAGAGGGGCAATAAAAATACATTTTTTTTAAAAAAATCCATTTCATAGACAATGCACTTGGGACTCCTGTCTCTCAGGAGCCATTCCTGTTCCGCAATAAACCTTTCTTACTTTTAACTTCCTTTTTCCTTTAGAATTCATTCTTTGATTTCAAGGAACACAAACTGAGCAGATCTGACATCTAGCAGCTTGGGAGTTACCCCTCTCCTGTATCACTGGAGAACACCCCCCACCACCACCACCACCAATACTACTTTAACAATTTATTACTGTTTCAATGTGTTGCTTTGTGACAGTGTATTGCTTTGTGGCAATGTATCTATTACTGTGGAGTAACATTGTAAAGTCTTTAAGAGAGTGTTATGGCTTGTGTCCATGTGTCCTTGGCATCATGCAGTTGTAGGTGTGGCTTTTTTAGAGATGGCTGGATCTAGAGTGGGTAACACTGGGATTGATTCGTGCTGCAGGGCTAGGATCAAGAGCACTAGGAATAAGGGTGTGCCCTCACTGGTCTAGACAAAATAGAAGGGATACAGAATGCTTTGGTTCGTCCTTGCTTGATTTCTTTGTCACTTTCCCACCGTGAACTGTCTTTCCTCTCTGATTCCTGTTTGCCTTGCCATTCTGTCCTGGAACGAGCAATTATGGACTGAAACCTCTACAAAGTGTGAGCTAGATAAACCTTCCCTCCGTTAACTTTGGGTGTCAGGTATTTTGTCTCAGCAAGGAGAAATGCAACTAAGACAGATACTAAACTGAAGATTGCAACATGTATAAACATATTAAATTATAAAATTCCATTTCATAGAAAAATATTAAATATATGCACAAAATTAATACACCTACATAATAAGGGTGGAGATGACAGTTTAAATTGTTTTAACTACTTTTCTATTTAGTTTATTTCCATTTTCTCATTTATCCACAATGATCATGTGTTACTTGTATAACCAAAAACAATAAAAGCCTGGCATGATGATGCACACCTGTAACCCTCGCATTCAGGAGGCTGAGGCAAGACAGTCTCCAAGAGTTCCTGGCCAGCCTGGGCTACATAGTTCAGGCCAGTTTGAATTAATTTTTTTTTTTTAAAGAAAAAGATTTTGTGAGGAGAGTCTTTCTGAGGAAGAATCTCGCTATGCAGTTCAGGCTGGCCTTGAACTTACTATGTAGCCCAGGCTGGCCTTGAACTTTAAAGCAATCCTCCTGCCTCAGCCTCTTTCTTGAGTGCTAGAGTTATAGGCATGGTCCACCAAACCCAACTACAAAAAAGATTTCTGAGTATGAGTATGTGAAACACAAGTGTTTTGTTCACTCCAGAGCTGGCAGTCAGGGGAATGTGGCTGCCCAACGACCAGGGATGGCTGAAGTCAGGCAAGCAATGGTAAATGCTGGAGAGAACGGGTGCAGGCAGGGAGAACTCAGATAAAGGCTGGCAATAATGGGTACGAGCCAGCCACATCCTGGGAAATTTTTTTCCAAATCCATTTTATTTCAAGGAGAAAAAGAAAACAAGAAAAAAATTCAAAACACGTCAATCAGGGGGCAACAATTGTGCATTCTCATCTACATCCTAGGAGCTGATAGCAGGAAAAAATTTAAAACTGGATTTTGACCTAGCCACTCCAGGAATGCTAGAGATTCTGAATGAACAAAACCAGCAAGGTCCCATTTTCAAGGAGTTATGGGGGCGGGAGTGGAGATGGAACAACCTGTAAATTAAATAGGGATATTGAAGCCATCTCTGTCTCCAAAGAGTAAATGTCCATGGGGAAGGAAAAGGAGGCACGTGAGCCTGTGGCCCATTTACTAGTCATTAACATTGCCACGCAGCATCGATTTTTCTGTTGGTATTGTTGTTACAAACATGTTGTAAATTAAAACACAAACATAACATTATACCCCTAAATACTTCAGTATGAATCTCTAAGATAGATACTGCTCTACTTATCCAAAATGTCACTGTCAACTCAACAAAATCTACAACAGTGCATTCATCTAACCAAAAACACCTGAACAAGGGATGCACACCTATCATCTCTACACTTGGGAGGCTGACGCAGGAGGATCTCAGCCAAGTTCAAGGCCAGCCTGGGCTACATAGTAAGATCCTGTCTCAAAAAAAAAAGGTAGCCATACATCTGTTGTGGGAAGAATACTTAAATTTTAATGTTGTCCTGTATTTCATTCTACTTACAACAGTTTTTTTTTTCACATATTTCCATAGCTGTGTGAATTGATATGCAATCAGTGGCATCTTGAGTTACTGGTGGCCAGGGGACAGTCACAGTGTAGTTGCCATTGCCTGCACACACACACACACGCACGCACACACGCACGCTAAGAACCTGCTGTTTTGGTAACTCAGGTCACACAGCCCGCAAGTCCCAGGCTGGAACTGGAGCCAGTCAGTCAGCTCCTCATTATCTCTCCGGCCAGAGCCGGGGTGAATGGACCTTTTCCGCCCCCGCTGGTGAAGTTCCGTGACCAATGACAGTGATCTGTGAAGGAGTGAGTCATCCTGGTCTTACCCCGGGGGTGGCAGGGAATGACCTGATTACCACAGACTCCAGAGGCCAAGACAGGCGCTGCAGAGGAGCCACTGGCCTTTTAAAGGGTTCCTTTTGTTTGTTGCTTTTTGTTTTTGAGACAGATCCCTAAATTTCGTTTTGAGACAAATCTCTAAATTTCCCCGGCTGTGCTCAATCTTGGATGCCCCTGACTCAGCTTCCCAGAGCGCTGGGATAACAGGCGTGCAGCACCACGCCCTGCTGGTAATTCACCTTTTATGCCACAGTTCCTTCAGTTAGGGGAGGATCAAAGGAGTAACACACACACACACACACACACACACACACACACACACACACACACACACGGGATTTAGACCGGAACTGGAAACCAGCAGGCCTCCTCCTCACTCCACATTCACCGTGCCCTAAGGAAGCCCATCCTGCAAGGCAACCGGCAGCAGCTCCTGAGGGACTGATGGATGTATTTCAGGAGAAACTGCCCAGCCCAAGGCTGACTCACTGCAGCCCTTGGGTCACGTGCACCCCATAGAGCTTCCGACCACAGAGGAGTCAGCACTTAGGTCTCTGTTCCTACCGACTGCCTTGAATGGAGACTCTGATCGAGCATCAGCCCCGTGAATTCTCAGATGGGACTGGCGCTAGGCCCATATGGATTTCATCTGTTATATTCTAAGGAATCCAAAAGAAGATACAGACCCCTTCCTTTCTTCTTTCTTTCTTTGTTTTTTTGTACACTAGGAATAGAACTAAGACCTTTACACTGAGCTCCATCTCCAGCCCTTCTTTAAGACAGGAACTCCAGGGGCTGGGGATTTAGCTCAGCAGCATAAGTTCCTGCCTTGCAAGCAGGCAGTCGCGTGTTCGATCCCTGGTACCAATAAAAAAAAAAAAAAAGACAGGAGCTCCCTAAATTGCCAAGGCTGGGCTTGAACCTGACATTCTCCTGCCTCGGCCTCCCAGAGTGCTGGGATCCCAAGTGTGTACTAATATGCCTGTTTCCTCTTTGAGAAACCTGAAGTGAGACAGAAACTCACTAACTTCTGCCTTTCCTAAACTCCACTTCACTGACCCAGGGGAGGCAGCGACCAGTTTAGAACCTGGCACAAAGTGGGTGATTAAGGAAATGTATAATGAATGAAAAGTTAATGGGTAGATGAGCAAATGGATGAGTGAGATGGATGAATGGATGATTAAATGGTAAATGAGTGAGTGGATAGATGTATAAAAGGTGAATGAGTGAATGTATGACTGAATGGATGAAGGGTTAGAGAAAGGACTCCGGACCTTCAAAGTCTTCCCATGTCACATAAATCCTGTTCCCTCCTCTGCCCACTCTGTTTTTTTTTTTTTTTCAACTCCCATTTTCTAACCTGTGTCTCAAACATGAGTGTCACAAGGGCTTCTGAGGACATCTGGGAGCAAAGATGGCCTTGGTATACGATGACACTTGCGTTTCCTGAGGCCTCGTTGCTGTGGGTCTGTTTTTGACCAATAGGCAATGGCATCTATGAGGCACTAGATTAGGGTGTGGCAAGGTGGCTGGGTAAGTGGGCGTGACTGACCCCTCTCCAGGAGCTGTCAATCACAGAGGCCTAGCCATCACCGCTAGGACGCGTGTGTGGAACTGCTTCCCAGCCATGCTTCGGCCGCTGGGCTGAGTCACGACCTGGGATGCAGACTGCATTGCAGCCCTGTGCAGAGCGCAGCTCCTACTGGGGCCTACGGCGTTCACAGTGCGCAGTACCTCTCCAGAGCACTTCTTTTCCCTACTTGGAAGCCGGTAATTTATAAGCCTCCTTTGCTTGTCTTCACCAGCTCTTTAAACAGGACAACAGGAGCCGGGACAGAACCCCAGCACCCCATTCAGAGTGCATCCTGAGGGAGGGCTGCGGAGACTGAGGGTGGTCAGAGCACCAGGGTCACCAGGAGAAACTCGGCAGTCCTGCCAGACACTATCAGGACGGGAAACCCAGCCGAGCATGGTGGCTCATTCCTGGAATCCCAGCTCTCAGGAGGCTGAGGCAGGAGGACCACCTAGTTCAAAGACAGCCTGGGCTACATAGCGACACCCTGTCAAAAGAAAGGAAAGAGAGAAAGAGCAACAGAGAGAGACAAAGAAGGAAAGGAAGGTAGAAGGCTGGGATCATGGGTGAAGGAAGAAAACACGCTGAGTCCTTACAATGCCACGAGGCACCGTGGATGTTCCTGGCGACGCTGGCGGCCGATACTCTCGTGAAGCCCGGTCTGAAGGCTGACAGAGCCAGGCACTCGCGCCAGGGCCTTGGCCCTCCCCTCCCTCAGTGTCAGTAACTGTGCCCAGGAGCCCGGGGACATGGTGGCTCGGGGCACAGGAACGGTTCCTTTGGGGGAAGAGTGCCAGCCTGATAAGGGACAGAAGCGTCCTGAATATGTCCATCGAGGATACGGTGAGCAAGTCGCCCCCTGGCCCTTCCCCACGTGCTGGCCGCGAGGTCCATCGGTGATGCTACGGCAGGGCTGCCAGGGAATCCGGGAGCAGAGCGCAGCCACTGTGGCAAAACCCTGCAGCTCAGCAGAGACCTGCAGCCTCAAGGGCTGAGCCTG